TATATTTATATATAAACGTAAGTATGAATATGTAAACGAAAAGTATTATATTGTAATTCGTAATATCTACTTTTACAGACAATCTCACACTATAAAAACTAGTGTAAAACTAGAAATAGAAATGAAAATGAATCTTCTATTACAAGGCATTGTTTAAGACCGTGGATAATCGGGAATGACTCTAAAGTAGCTTGTATAAGTTCAGTCAGAAAAAAGCCTTCTATTGTAGAGTGTAAGAGCTCTACAAATTTTACATTTATTTTGCTTTAGCATCTCGCATGAGATACAATAAGTAAAAAATCATATTCTTCTTAGCCGTGGCAGAGTATTGTATAAATATATGGATTCCCATGTTCATTGAAATCTTCTCATACTACTTCTCGTAAACTTACCATATGGCAGGAGGAACTCCTCAGCACAGGCTGTTCTGGCCTCCAAAAACGCCGCATGGAACTGACTTTGCACCTCCGGAGTATCTGGATCGATCTCGAGATCGTCAGCGCGCAACTCACTTAAGCACAAGCCGCACAGAAAAAGGACTTTAAGCAAATGGAAGCGCGACATCTTTGCTGCTGAGCAGGGCAAAACCGTTTGACAGCATGGAGATTGGTTCGGCCTTTATAGATCAGTCCGACAATAGATCGATTAAATTACAAAAAAGAAAATCTTTTTTAAACTAAATAGTTGCAGTTTAATCGAACAATAAATACATGCGAGAGCAATATTCTCATTCATATAATACAAAATTAATAATATTTAAATGAATGTTAAACGAAATCTAAATAGTTCAATGGGCGCTTTGATTGGTTGTGCTCAATTTTTCTCTTCTGTCGAAAAACGTTCACGAAAATTGGGTAAATAGCGTTAAATTAACTTAATGAGTGTCGGGAACTGTAGTATAGATCGCGCAACGAGGTCGGTGCTTAGAGTGAGGATCATAATGTATAGAAATAGCTGAGTTAGTATAGCCAAAGGTTACAATTTACAAGTATATAATTATACAATGATGTATAGAGCAGTTTAGTGAGTTAGCCTTATAAAT